AGGCAGGATATGAGTTCACTTTGGCTATAATAAAAAATTGGCTTAACAAACAGGCCTTATATCAGATCCATAAGCCTTGGCCAAAATTTATCCAATATGCTTCTTTTAATAATATACGAACATTCAATAAAGTACACCAGTCTGATACTACACCTATGCCTCATGATAAAGTTGACAATCAAACTTATAAATACTGAGGAGTGATAAAGGATATTGCAACTAGATATCAGCACAGTTTCGCTTTGTTTGATAAAACAGCTACGCGAATGGCTAGAGAGATTCAGAAAATTTATGATGATCCAAATTGTCTACTTAGCTGGCCAAAAGTTTTAATCATAGATAAAGGAACCGAATATATGGATGAGTGTAGAGATTTATTTCTCAGACATAGCGTGAGAATTCAGTATGCTAAATCTAAACGAAGTGTGGCTATCGCCGAGCGAGATTACCAAAAATTTGAAAAGCATGTCTTTTTTCGCCAAAATGCTACAGACTTACATTTACTATTGACTAATAGATCTAGGGAGTGGGTTGTCAACCTTTATATTAATGATGATAAATATAATGATTCCCTACAAAGTTAATACACATATCGCCCAATGAAGCTGTAAAAAAATCATTAGAAGGTGAGAAAATCTTTGCAAATCCAGCTGTTAAGCACAAAAGGCCCATAGATTATGATGAACCCCTCCTATCATCTGATATTAAAGTTTAGCATCTATTAGAACCTGGTGAACTAGAAGGCTGGAGGAGGGCTATTGATTGTAACTGGTCTTCTAAAATTTTTTCGATCGAATCATTTTCAAGAAAAAATAACCAGCCAGTTCTTTACAAGCTACGTAACGGTCCAAGATGCCCATTCGTGAGAGAAGAACTTCAAATTGTAAAGGATATGCATTTACCTCCTAGGTGGGTATTGGGAGGAAACCAAATACATTCAAGGCACTCTTGATGAAAGTTGGCAGATCAACAACACAATAAGGAATTGTGATAAGAATTATACCTTCCTTAAAACAGAGTGCTCTCTTCTTCCAATCGCGTTGAATTTGTATATCTAAATTAATTTGTCCTTGTGGATGGAAAAAAGAAACGATTTGAAAATATTGATTGCTACTGTATTCAAAGGCCAAATGTAATTTCTCATTATACCCATCAAGCTGTAAACCTTTTAAAAATTTGGGTTTTCAAGGTGGAAATTTCTTATATAAGAATTTTTAAATATATATCGGCATCTTTGCTCAAATATATGGGGACAACTATTACACTATCCATAATTCTGCTTCATATCTTTATAGGATGCTTCCCATTGATGTTGATTTTTGCATAACCACAAATAAATATCTGCATTGGATCTAGCTTTAGCCAAGCATTCCCTTTATGTCTTTTGGCATAGGTAAAAGCTTTAGTATCAATCTCGTTATAATCTTGCATTTTTACTTTGTAGTTACAAAGTAGCTATAATATAATCGAAAAAATAACAATATGTGATATATTTTTTGAGCTAACAAAAATTCCAAATGCCTCTAGAAAGGTTAGAACAATGGCGAACCAAGATGCTTTTAACTCATTAAGTTTGGACTTTGACTCATTGCTAAGAGACTTTCGGTAAGAGATCCAGATATATCTATAAACTTCGGATGGGTGATTTACTACTATGAATCTCTTACCTGCAACCCGAATAATATATTTATCAAAATTTTCCTCAGAATGATGGGCATCTAGAAGAGTGATATCATCTTTACTATTAGACAGATATTGAAAGTATACATGATTATTATAACCAGGCTCAAAATCAAGGTCTGCTAAACCAGAAAAGAGCCTAATTGCTTCATTTATTTCACCAGGGTCAGGCCCAGGCTTTTTTTGCGTAAGAAGTATGGTGAATATGCAAGAAACTAGTATAAAATAACAAAGAAACATGCAAAGTTCAAATAAAAAATCTATATAATCATCGGTATAGTATTGGATCAGTGGTAGTACCCCAAAGTAATCAATATAATAATGCCTAAAAGCAATCGATGCAAAGATACTCTAAAGTAGTAAATATGCAGGAACAAAAGCTAGAAGGCAAAAACAAGCAAGTTTATAGTAACCCACTCAAGCAGAATTATATATAGGAAAAAAAAAAGAAATTTTACTTGAGTGGCCTACCACCGATAGGCAGGAAAGAGGTCGGGAAGGCAAAAAGCCGATTGCATTAATTTTTCTATTAAATATTCTATATGGTATATATTGTTAAAGAATTTAGCATAAATATGATTGATCTATTTGGT